GTATAATTACTTTTGTTTACAATTACAGATATAGAAAATTTTATGAATGAAATTTTCCATAATTATTAATTAGTAATAAATATATCTACACGAAAATATAATAAATTATATTACAATAAAGATCTAATATTTATACATATAAGATTAATTATATTAATTATATTAATTAATTTATTTTCTTTTAATGATTGGTAATTTTTATTATATTATTTTATATATTTTTTCATATTATTATTTTTATTATATAATGCTATTATAGTAATTACTATTGAGATATGTTTCTCACAATGTAAATGATAGAATTATTTGAAAAAGATAACAGTTTTTTGGCTCGAAAAAAATCCATCCCCATTTCTTTGAAGCCGCAAAATGAAAGATCCGAAAACAAGTGAAAGCAAGAAGCTATCAATTTTTATATCTGTCAGTATCATTTAATGACACAGAATGAGATAATATATGATTCTATTCTTTTCAAAAAAAAAAAACATTGTTGCTCTATCGACTACTTTATGATTTGCCGCCGTTTCAAGCCCCTTGGCTCGTTCTTTTGTATTTTCTCTCGTCTCTTTCGAGAACAAAGGAAGCCGAATAGTACGTCTGATCCATAAAAGGCAACAAAGCCGTTCTCGAGCTGCATTTTTCAAAGCGACACTATATCTACTATATCCACATTCAAACATGGATCAAAAAACGATCCGGATTGGATCATTTTTAATTTATGATGTGAACTTGAGTCTATTTTTTTTTTTTTTTTACTACTCAAAATATAACAAATAAATTCATTCAAAAATAGTAATATTTATGAATAAAAAATCAATTTTAAAAAATTCATCATGGATCGGAAATGACTCGACAATTTCGAAAAATAATCAATTATATTCAAGACTAAAAAATATTTTGTAATTATAAGGAAGAAAAGGGGATAATATTTTATTCAATTAATGTAAAAGAGAATCGTGTATCAGGAAATATTGAGAAACATTATGTTTGACAATGATCAGCCGGTATTGGTGAAAAAATGGTGTCATTCTATGACTCGAACAGCAGGTCGTTGCGTTAGGCGAAAGTAAGAGTAAAGGCGCGCGCGCACGTCTCTCGATCGTGGGAGATCAAGACCTACGCGAATTCCAGCTCAACCGGTACAGCTGGTGGTTGCAAAGGAACGAATAACGGTATGCACGGAGTTAACGGAAGATAATGCATGAACAGGTAGGTATAAGGAGCTATAGATCCGAGCAGGGATTCCTCGAATATCGACCTCGCCTCTCCATTCCTCTTACAAACGCCTCTGAACCGACCACGAATCTTTTCTATATCGGCAATCTTGACGTGCTTCCTCGTCGATGATGTTTCAATCTCTAGCTCATTTATAAAATTTTATTTTTAGAATCAAAGTAGTGGCTTTTGATTCTTATAAATTTTAATGATTATTATTATGAGATTGATAATAAAAATATTAACTTTTCGTATTATTTTATTAAAAATTATAGAAAGTTCTAATTAATGATTGTTTTCATAATTTCGAAATATCAATGAATTTTAAACAATGTAAGTATTCTTGTTCATTCCAAATATGTTTAAAATAGATTTATTAAAATCTAAATCTAATACCAAAATGCAATATTTAAATTTAATGTAAATTTTTTAAATAAATTTTGGATGTCAAATTGAAAAGAGAAAATATATATTTATTTATTTTTATGATGATAATAGAATAATTTAATTTAATCTTTTTTATAATAAAAGAATATAAAATACATTAGTTTTTCGAGTTTTTATTATTAAAATTTTGTTTTAATAATAAAATAAAGTTTTCTAAAAAAATAATGATATTTACAAAATTAAATTAATAAAAATCATCACTATATTTATATGGAATATTAACTTTCCAAGAAATAAGAAATGATTAAAGATAAAACCAAAACATAAAATTAAAATATCTAAAGACGTCGACAAGTTAATATTCGACAGTTTTGACATATCTATGACTTGAAACTTCGAAGAGAGATTGCAATACTTACACAGTCCTAAGTACATAAGTGCCAGCACTTGACATCAGTCGATACCGAGTTCTAATGGTTTAATTTATAACCTTACTATATCTTGACTTATAAATGCAAGTTATTACTAGTAATCTTACTAGCGCTAAGATTCAAAACAATGCTGCCAACTTAATATTAACCCATGTTTGTATACAATTTATAACCTCTGCATTATAAATGTTACAAACTGTTACTTTGAGCTTTTCGACAGAGCACTGAAAATTATTGCTAACTTTAGATTAATTTAATAATTGAAAAATATTATAATAAGAAACGAGTGTGATTGACTTTTTTTGTTGTACACGTGATAACGACGACCGTGAACCATAAGAAATGTTTCACAAAGGCTAGAAGAAGGGACACGGGAATATGGCTTCCATCGGTAACAGAAAGCAGTTTAGCGTGACACGAAATCAATAAAGCGCGATATTAATCCGTCCTTTCTTATAGCAGAGTCAGCAAGTACATAATAGCTGATGAAAATTTTATTAGACGAAAGAAATATATTAATTTTTATGCAAAAAATATTTAATTGTAAATCGACTACAATATCCGTTTTAACATAACCTCATAGTAGATCGAAGCATATTATGCATGATATAAAATTTTAATCTTACATCATGATTATTGATTATTGTTATGAATGAATAAACAATGATAGCTATTAAAAGACGAAAAAAAATTGAAAATTCAAGTATTTAATATATATATATATATATTTCAATGACATTGTTCACTTGAGTTAAACAGGATTCCTAATAGTGGAGACAGTTCGAGCATATCTTGCGAAGAAAAGACCGATGTAAAAAATCAATAGAACCTCTATTAATTGAAAGATAAAAATTTTTGAATAATAGGATTTTCATATAATGAAATAAATATTTAGCATGCACCTACTCAAAGAAAAAAATTAATAGATATTTTATTAAAATAAAATAAAATAAATTATAGTTTATATAACTTTATATAAGATATATTAAATATAAGATAAAAAGATAATTAATTCTATTTTTTTTTTAAGTAAGAAAAATCAAATTTATATATATATATATATTATATTATCAAAATTTTTTATTTTTATTATATATTATTAAAATTTTTTATTAAATTTTCAAGCAAATTGAGATATTTTTTATTTTTGCACTGTATTTTGCAGAAATCGTTACAACATAGCAAGGTTTATTGAGATATCTAATAATTACATCTTTTATAAATAATTTCAAGTATATCATAATTGATTTTCCAATATTATATTTTTTTTCTATATTTATCTTCTTCTTATTTTCTTCCTTCTATTTTGTATTTTTCTTTAATTATCAATGCATTTATCTCTTTCTGATATATTGTTTATTTTGATTTCATATTAAATCATTATGAATTTCATTTTGCAGACAAAAATAAATACAATGTCAATATTTATATATAATATTCTAATATAAAATAACATATCATTATATGAAAATATTTCGTTTGGATAATTGAACATTCATCCAAGAGATAATAGAACAATGTTCTATATAATAAAAATTTTTTATTATATAGAACATAATACGTAAAAGATAAGTTTATATAACTTATAAGTTATTTCTTTATTTATTTTGGGATTAATTATATTCTATGTGCAGTAAAAAAAAAAAATTAATAATAATGCACTAATTAATTATTAATATAATAATATTATAAAATTAATTAAAATTAACTCGATTAAATTTATATATATTTCGAAAAGGTAATTATGCAAAAAAATTTTAGAATTTCATTTTCTATAATTTTCATTGTATCATTATGAAAATAATAGAATATTATATATTATTATATATACACTAATTGCTTACTTAATTATCGCAGAATCGAAACTAAAACACATTATCTAGTAAGTAGGTGTTTCTTAATGTTAAAATTGTTATCTTATTTCTAGATTTTATTCATTTTACTGGCACGTACTCAAAGAAAAAAATACATTAATTCTTTTGTAAAAATTATTTTCGATTAATAAAAAAGCAACATATACTATTTTTAATTTAAAAATTTTAAGACAAAATATAAAAATTATAATTATTCTTTTATCATCATTTAAAGAATTGAACAATAAGATAGATATAAAAGAAAAAATAAATTGTAATTTTTATATAAAAGTTTGTTTTTTTAAAAATAAAAGAAAAATTAAATAAACTAATAAAAAAGCAAATTACAATATAAATGAGATTCCAGATTTCAGAAATTGTAGTATATAGTATAGTAATATGTACTACATATATAATAAATAGAATAGTAGTAATATTTGTATATTGCATACAATAGTATATATAAATGGAATTTCGAGGAACGTGATCATTGAATCCAAACTATTTCAATACATTCAATGCATACCATCATAAAAATTTATTAGCCACAGCTTTAACTTTTTCAAAGTAGAATAAATATTCTAATTTAATTAAAATTATTTTCCATTTTCGAGGAAATAAAAATTATTTATTTATACAAAAATATATAAAATAAAATCCTCGATAATTACATTTTTTAAAATTTTCAGTTATTACATTTCATTTATAGAAAAAATAATAATCGAAAAATCACTCTTATTTCATAATTAATTGAAAATTTTAGTAATTTAGATTTCTGCTATAAGAAGCAATGCTATACAACCTTTTATTCACCTAAAATTATTACATTCATAAAACGTTATTATTCAGCCAATTACCGAAGTTAATTAAATTTTGCTTCCTACAAAGAAATCCTACAAAAAAATAAATTAATAATATAAAATAAATTAAAGAAATCAATATATATAGGAAAAATTATTAACGAGATAGACATATATGATAGGATGCACAATATCGTAAGTATACGTAAAAACGTGCATCGCGCATGCGCACATCGAACCAATTACAGAAGGCGTTTTCGAATATTTGTAGCTTAGGTTAGTTGGCTGGATTTATGAGCTGTAGAGACAGTGTTGGAAGAAGAGTCGGTGTCGGCGTTCGTTAAACGCATCTTTAACAGACCGTTGATGAGGTTTGTCCATTAATACGTATTCGATGTCGTGACTCGGGACGCTGTTTCGTCTGATGAGAAAAGCTTGGATCGCAGCCAAATATTCGAAAATCGAGGGGACGAGAAGACTTGCGGTATTTCGATGAGATCGGGTATCATTGGTTCGATGAAAGTTACGTACCGCTTTGCTATTTAACAGTGTTGCGATAATATTCTAAAACAGTATTCTCTATTTTGAGTTTGATTCTCCTTTGTAATTCAAATAACTTGGGATACAAAGTAATAAGGAATTTTTTTATATAGGTTATTTTTCTCGTCAATAGACTTCAAAAGCAGTGCAGCCATTTAAATATTGACAATTCTATTTTTGTACATAATGATTTGTCTATGCATAGATTAGATCGTTATTCTATTATTGAATACTCGACGATAGCGGGTATATAAGTTATATTTCTAATGAGATTACAAACTATGCACATAAAATTATCTTCGCAATATAGTTAGTTTTTTTGATCATTGATATAAGAATTTACATATTTATTTTGAATTTCTTAAATTTAATGATGGATTTATGAAAAATGAAAAGGATTACCATCATTTTATTCCTATGATTAATAATATTACCTTTCTATAAATAGTCATATTATTTTATTTTCAGGATTAATTTCTTATTATTCTAAACTTCGAAAAAATTATAAAATATTTAAATATTTTAAGTAAGTACATAAATATCTAACTTAATGTACAAAATTTTAATTTAAAATGTATAAAACTATTTTCAATAAAAATAAAAACTTGTTTCAAAGAAATTTAACAATTGAAATTTCCTAAACGATTCAAGATAATACTGAGATTTCAATAATTAGATCACTTTAATATTTCTGTTAAATATTGCAATATAATATATCAAGATAAATAAATACTAAAAATCATTAACTAAAAATTATAGCATTACTCTGTAAAAACTTTTTGCAATCTATAGGTTGAGAACCACTCTTAGAAAAATCCACGATTTTTCGAAGTTACTGATTCGATATTCATTTTCCTCCTTTTCATTTTTCCTTCGAACAACGGCCGCTCTTATTTTTTTCTCGCGATTTCGACGAAGGATAAAATTTGGCATGCATATAGGTATCTCCAAGAGATGAATAACGAATATGAACTTGCTATTTTATTCCCGTGTTTGGCATCGACTCAAAAAATTTCTTTTTTCTCTCGAATAAAAAACTGGTAATTTCTGTTGCGAGGGGAAGCAAGTTAATATATATTTCGATATATATAGTGAGGGACAAAAGTTTTCGTACATTATTTTATAAAAAAATTCATTTAAGCTAAAAATTCAAATTTTAATAAAAATTCTTGTGTATATAGAGCAAAATATATAAGAAACAATATTTTTGTCAATTTTTTTTCAAAACGATGAAATTTTAATATTTCGTCAAATTTTGAATATAATTTTGCCTATGTTCTATTTTTTCCATTAGAGAGTTATTTTTAAGAAAATCTTGTTAAAGTTATATTTCAGAAAATAAATATCAGAAAAAATGCTCTGTATATATATATATATATTTATGCTCATTAAATTTCATTAAAAATAAAAAATTTGTTTAAAAAATTAAAAATTAATAAATCTAGAAACAAATACATGTTATGAAATTAAAATGCAAAATAAAAACTACGAGTTGTTAGAATATTTCACGCATCAATTCTTATTACTTTTCAAAATGCAAATGTTCCAATCATAAGCAATAACGTAACCGAATGTTTCCGGTTGTCCTTGCTATCGATGAAATTCAGGGTGGAGTTACTAACAAGGAAGCATCGATGACCCTAATTTCAAATGTCATCGAAGTCTACCATCGCTTGAACGAATGCTCAAATCGAAAATGTCCCTCATGGTAAATGGTGCGTCACCAAATCGTCTATTCTTTTCGTTCAGAAGACAGGCTGTTGTACTAGATACGAAGCAACCGAATATTTAGTTGATTCATTGGATCAAATAATAGCAGCCTATTAATTTCGATACTGGTTCACTCATGGTTCACATTTATAGTATAAGGAAGAGCAAATTTATATTGACTTCCGTTCCTATAGTTCAGTTTATTATTAAAAATGATACTGGTAATAAATTCTATTGACTAATTTATAAATTGATAGATATTAATTCGATATTTATTGAATATTCAATCTTCTATAATTTATTAATTTTAATAAATTTATTTATTAGATGATACATCATATCGTTAATAAGATTAGATATTATTATTAAGAAATAGTATTTTATTTAAAATAATATATTTTAATTGATTCCGGTTTTTAATTATTACTTTTCTGATTTTTAAGAACACACGAATTATCAATAATATCTTAAAATCTCTTCAGCTTAATTGTAAATAAAATATAACTAATTTTAAGTTTAAAATTTATTTAAAGATATTTCTATTAAGATATCGATACCTATTTGTAATTTCTAAAGAGATTAAATAGATATCATTATAGATGCATAAAGTATCAAATAGGTATCGATATCTCCAGAGATATCTCAAAAAAATATAAATACAATGAAACAAAGTAATATCCAATATCTGACTACGAGATATTCCTATCAATTTCTAAAATTGTTAATTTAAAGCAAACATTATCGACATTATCTATGATTCATAAAGATTTAATTGTTACGAAATAATTAATTATTATATTTTGACATTATTTATCGAATTATTGGCAAAAGAAAAATGTACATTTTTTTGTTTACTATTATATTATTACAAAATAGTGTAATCGAAATAATAGAATTAATTAAAATTCGTACAATATCAAACATGACTATATTTATATTATTGTATTATTGTATTTTAATTACTCAATGATTATAAGCTATACACTTATTACATTCTATCTATTATGTCTCATTAATTATCTCGTTAATATTTCTCAGTTTTTTCCTTGATAAATACAATAAAATGAGACGAAATCCAATAACATCAATCAATTTTCAAAAATCCATTTGATCATATATGATGATCAAGCTATTTAATATTACATCTAATAATTTTGAGTTAGTATAATATTAATTTAATATTTTATTCTAAAATAAGAAATATCGATAGAAAAATAATCCCAAATATAATTTTAATTCGAAAAAAACAACTGTTTTTAATTCGAAATTAGCAATTCTTCTATATTTATTAAAGAATCCATGAAAACGAAAATCCATAAAATTTTATCTGCGTTCATTTAATGACAATGAAAAAACATATTATTTTCTGTTCTTTTATATATATTCGAATAACATAGCTGTTGACTTACTATTTTATGGTTTGTTGTCATCTCATCTCTCATCTCATTGGTCAATCTCAAAGTCATCTCAAAGTCAAACCTAAGCCGAGGTCAAGCCAATCAAAACAATGAATATAACGTCCACCGCAACATTACATTCAGTTTTTTTAATATCCATCCGTTAAACATTATATTATAAAGCATAGGAATCATACATTAATCATATATATGTGTTATAATATTCTACGTCAGTATTATAAGATTCTTATAATATTATAAAGAATAATATCATAAAAGACATTAACAGAAAAAAGATTATAATCACAGTTTTGAATAGAATAACAAATCTATAATATAATAATATAATTAGTCAGTCTTTTATTTACAAAATTAAGGTCGAGTCAATAATATTTACAAAATTAAGATCGAGTCAATAATATTCATAAAAAAATTAAATTGATTCATATATCATTAAAGTAACGATTAAATTTATTACATGCATGTGCAAAAAGAATAAAAATAGCAGATATATAAAATGTTATATGTATAAAAAAATGAATGTAACGTCTATTTTTGACCAATATTCATTTAATCTTGGCAAAAATGGATTATTATATTATATTATATTACAAAATTTTTGGATAGAAGAAAAATTTATTATTTTTTAAATTATGAATTTTATATTAACATACATTTTAAAATTCACTATTCACTAGATTTTTAATAAAAGAAAGATTTAAATCCTCTTCTAAAAATGCATTATTAAAAATAATTTAATATTGAAATATATATAAGTAATCGATTGTTATTTCGAAATAAAATTATATCTAGAACATTTATATTTGACTTTTGTAATTGAATATTTTAATATTGAATATAGAGTGAATATCATCAATATTATATCGATTTGATCACTATCCATGCTTATTTGAATAAATTTTGAATAATAATGAATGGAAATAATGATTAATTTCTTCTTTTAATCATGGAAAATATTACGGTATAAAAGATGAATTTATTTAACTTTGTTTCCATTTTTAATTTACGTAAAATGAACGAGTAAAGTTTCTTTTTGATGTAACGAACAACTGGTTGGAGCTGGATTGCAGGGATTTTAATTACTAAAGATAATGTCTGTCGGCCTAGTTCACGAATCGGTCTCGCATTAGCACAGGTTTTGGCACATTTCCATTAGCTTTACAAGTAGTCAGGCAACCGCGACAAGATTTTTCGATCTTTGTGATCTAAGTTTACGATCAATATTCTACGATGAAATTTTTGATTTTAGTTAAAATATTTGTATGCTAATTTATTTGAAAATCTTTTAATTCATTTCAATCAAATAGAAAAATGATAGAATTTTTACAAAATTTACTTTGATCATAATAATGAATAATTCATATTTTTTAGTAAATTTTATAATATTGTTAATTCTAACTAAAAGAAGAAACGAAGATGAAAAAAATATTAAAATTGAATGAAATTCTTTTTCATATAATTATATCAAAAATATAATGAAATCATGTGTATTGATTGAAAAAAAATTACAAATATATTTTATTTATTCTTTTTAATTAATTATTCTTTTTAAATTAAATAGTGACATCATAAGTTATCTTAGAATTAATAAAAATGTATTCTTTTTTATTCCTCATTACCTATATGATTAAAAACAATAAAATATTTATATATAATAGTAGAATATTATCAATAAAAGCATATTATCAAATTTTATATATATC